CCCTACACCATGAACAGGGTCCCGAGAGCACAGCTCCAGCAGCAGTCAGTGCCCCACACAAATGTTCACTTTAGCAGACACAATCAGGTTCTCAGCAGCTCAGAGCTCACAATTGCAGCCATTCATCAGCGTTCCTGGAATGCAGCCGCAACAGCTCCAGTCCGTCAGTTATCTCTGCAAAATGATCTCTACTCTGCTCCTTTTCCAACWGCTCCAGGAATATTTTGCCCCAAAAGTCTGCCAAACATGTAGGAGGTTTGAACAAGCTTTCTCAGTAACATTCTTTTAACCAAACAGAGGCAACATATTTCTTTTCCCCCACAAGCCAAAATAAAGTTATTAAGCCAACTGAAATATTGTACTTGTCATTTACAAATTTGTGTATACATGGGCAAAAGGGTGAGTAGAGAACCTGACACACACTGACACCAAAATCCTCCAAAATAATTACTGCTGAAGTCCAACAGAAGAATCAGAGCAATTCTGAAACCCAGTTCTACTTGTGTTTTTACAACATTTTCCAGGCTCCTGTTTGAGGGAGCAATACCCACATCTGCCTCAGGAACAGCAGYAGTTCCTCTGTTTTTTAATACTGCTGCAGTTTATTTTGCTAACAGCCACATTTAGAGAGGAAAATATTACTTATTAGTAATAAGCAGATATTATCTACTTATTAGTAGGTATTTCCTAACTTTCACACAACAATTTTTCCTTTTTAAGAGCTTACCAATTTGGACACATCAACTGGAAAAAGAGCTCTGCTYTTCAGAGAAGGAGTGATATACCAAAAGCTTTTTTCTTTTTTAATTCTTTTGGACTACCTGTCCACCCTCCCTTTCTCCACAGGTAAGTTTGGTCAGTTAATTGGTTCTTCTCCATTCATCAGGTCCATGCAAGGAACCAGTTTGGTACAGACTGCTGTCAAACTGGACTGGGCTATAGGAACAGGAAATTAAAAGTTTTCAAGCAATGGCTGGGAACAAAGTCATCTATAAACATGTTTCACTCTACGTGTCAGGCTACATAACCTTACAACCCTTATAACCTTAGATGTAGTTGGATTTACACCAGCAGACTGTAAGACAGGAGTAACACAAAACATTTTTCAGAAATACATGAACTGACCAGCTTTTTACATCATGCTTACTGTATTCCTCATATGCTGTTYTCAAAGAATTTTCATCTTCACTATTTTACCTTTCAAACAGCTCCTCTTCATGTCACATTGGTGAATGACTTTGCAGATAAATCCAGGGCACTGAGAGCTATGAACTATCCCTTGATGAGTCACTGTTTTASAGACTATGGGATAATGATCGATCTACACGAGTCTGTCCAGCTTCAAGYACGTGCAAATACTGAAGAATAACTCAAGGTGCCAGAAGAAATGYMRATGCTTTCTTACTGAGCACCCTTTCTGGAGACATTACACACTAACAGTAAGAAAAATGCTTTCTCCAGATTTCCAGCTTCTGTGATCACCGAGCAACCTCTCCAAAGTGAGAGGAGCATTAACTCCCTGGACCTTGAGGCACAAACCATGAGTCGTGGTGTGTATCAGCTCCCTTTGCATCTTAACAGCTTTATCAGTGTCAACCTCCAGCCTATTAATGACACTTGAAGCTCTTCATTAACTATTTCACCACTAATTCCAGCAGATAAGGGAGCTGGGCAAAGCCCATGGGAATAGTGGCCCAATTTCAATRGCTGGAAAGAGGAAAAAAAGCAGGAGCAAGAATACAACAGCAGACAAGCAGAAGACACTTGTACAATAAAGCCTCCTCAGAGGGTAAAGCAAATAAAAACCAAGTGGTAAAACAGCCTTTACAAAGTTTTCATTCTCATCTCTCTGTCTAAGCCAGTGGAAGTCAGGCCATTGCTTGAGGGGAGCAAAGAATAATCTTTGGTCTGCTGGCTGTGTATCTATCTCCTGTGCTGTATGAGCTCTGGGTCGGTTTAAAATGAGTTTTCATGGCTCACCAGGATCATGGAAACTCTCACACCATACATGTGCTCCTGGCTGTGTATCCCCTGTGCTGTATGAGGTCTGGGCCTGTTTAAGGTGAGTTTTCATGGTTCACCAGGATCATGGACACTCTCACACCATACATGTGCTCCTGGCTCTGTGTCTATCCCCTGTGCTGTATGAGCTCTGGGCCTGTTTAAAGTGAGNAAACAGCCTTTACAAAGTTTTCATTCTCATCTCTCTGTCTAAGCCAGTGGAAGTCAGGCCATTGCTTGAGGGGAGCAAAGAATAATCTTTGGTCTCCTGGCTGTGTATCTATTCCCTATGCTAAATCAGGTTTAGGCCTGTTTAAAATGAGTTTTTATGGCTCACCAGGATCATGGACACTCTCATACCATACATGTGTATCTATTCCCTATGCTAAATCAGGTTTAGGCCTGTTTAAAATGAGTTTTTATGGCTCACCAGGATCACCTTCCCAGCTGGGAAAGACTCTCCCACAGTAAGTGTGCTCCTGGCTCCCTGAGCAGCCAGCACAGGGCAGTTTTATCACCGAGTGCAGAAGGTGACAAACARGACATGTGCACTCCTCCACTGATAACCACCAGTTCGTTTCTCTGCTGGCACAGCACAGCCTGGCCTGTCAAAATGAGCACGCTGCATTCAGGCCCCGTTTCCATTTCTTACTCTTACACAGCAAAGTGTCTGAAAGAGTCTCTTTAGACATGGATAGCATGTACAGCACTGCTGCAAGGTGGCACGTTCAAAGACTAAACGAGGAAAGTAACTGTGAAAGTCACCGTTCTGGGTAACAGCACCAAGAACTGACTCACTGCAGTGCCACACTAAGTGAGCAGCCCCCAGGTTGAACAAGTTTTTCCTTATCTTTACACAGAAATGATTCACTTGTCACAGATAATCATGTTCACTACCACAACTGATATTACGTATTAGAAGCTATGAAAAAGAAATGCAAAATGCACTTCTTTCTTACTGATTCCCGAATCAACAGAATGATTAAACACCAGACAAATAATCTTCWGATCAAACACTGAGCTATGAAAAGGACCCACCAGCCTGAAATCTTATTTGCATGAGGCAGTTTGTCACCGGGTTAGCAATCCTCTACCTTCAGGTGGGCAAACTGTGAAAAAACTGCAGCCGTTTCACTTTTTCTTGTCAGTTCTTTTCCACTCTAACCAGAACCAGCAGAGCTTTTCCTTGCAGAAAAGCACAGCAGTACTTTCTCAGACAGTGCCAGCCCATGCTCCAGCAGACACTGCATGAACTCTGCAGCCTCAACTCTTCCAACATCCACTCTGAGGTGTCCCCTCCATCCACTGCACCCCAACCCCACAGACACTGCAGSCTTTACTGAAACAATCCTGATCACACTGACTGTATCATCTTAAAGGCTGCTGCTGCCTCAAAGCCAGGGAAAACTCACAGAAATTCACCCAAGACCTTCTCATAATGGCCTGACTCCTGTTTTTAACACACACGTGTAATTCCCTTCCTCCAAACCGCAGCACTCCTGACAGTGCATGTCAGGACTGTAACTCAAACACTGCTTGTTCTGCTTTCCCAAAGAAGCCACCGAGCAGATTTGGCCATTCCCCTYCAGAGCAGTCTGACTGTGCACAGAACAGCACTCACACACGCACTGCTCTCAGTCTGCTCACACCACACCCCTCTGTAGTTCCAATTACTTTCCARCAAAAAACCCCTCATTGTGCGGCTGCAGTTCCCACCGTGTCCACATCTCTGCCCCTGTAGTGTCTGTCTGCTCCATACAAAGGACCCTTCTCGGCAGAGCTTTCCCTGCACATGGATTTGCACACAAATCCAATCCAAGTGCAAGCACTTTCCTTGCTAACTGACACCACAGAGTGCCAACTCCAYTGCAGGATAAAAACCAAGAATCTGCATTAAAAGCCTAAAGTTTTCCAAGATGCCCCACCTGATGGCCCTGAGACAGCACCACACAGACTCAACACTGCAATACAGAGCTGATGATTTTAACYCAGCTGTCATCAAAGTGCGACCTGTTCAGGAAAAAGGAGAGAACAGCCCTTCTCGCTGGCTACAGAAAGACAGCTTTGARTCTTTTGATTCTGAAAAGGTCTTAYTATTTGTGCATTAAGCAGCTCTCAGGCTATTTTGTACCACATTTTGTAAGAAAAGTAACCACACTTGCACCCTGAGAACAAGTACGATTCGCTACTCGCCTAAATACTTGGCCTTTGTTACGGTTCACACTCCTGAAACAAAAATGTAGCCCAGGTGAACCTCAGCATAACTTTCTGAAAATACAAATTTACCAAAAACACGTGACAGTAACTCAGAAGTTGACTTCKCCCCCCCACCAGAAGTGTTTTTTGAAATAATTCATACCTGTCTTCATCACCATCAACAGGAATGGATATGCCAAAGACAGAGCTAGCGAGACTGTTCATTGGAGTACTTGCAGGTAACTGAAGAGGATTTGCTAGAGTGTCTGGAATGGGAGGCTTCACAAGAGGTTTATTTTCGGCTATAAGAGAAAGTGGTGGCTGAGGTAGGGGTTCTGATTTTCTTCTAGTATCGTCAATCTGGCCTGCCAAGGACTGGGCCTGGCTCTGGAACTGTCCGAGGCTGGCCTGAGGCAGGCTGGCCTGAGGCAGACTGGCGGCTGCGCTGGCCATCATCAGCTGGGGCTGGAGCGCGCCGGGGGCTCTGCTGCCRGAGGGGTGGCTCGGCAGCTGCGACTGCACCAGCGTGGCAGGGACGTTTGGCATGGTGACAGAAGCAGTGGTGGACACGCTAGGCACACTGGCACCGGGCACGGGCACGCTCTGAACTGCGGGCACCGCGGCGTGGGGAGCGCCGGCCACTCCCGACACGGGACCGCTGGCCCCCGCCGCCTGCTGAGTCACAGATTTCTGCTGCACAAGCCCCGAATGTCCCAGGCCTGCCTGCACCACTCCTCCCGCCGGTGGCATGGCAGCTTGGCTCGCCGGTGCCTGGCCGCTCTGCAGCAGCCCCGATCCCTGTGGGGCGGCCTCGCCGGGCTGTGCCGCCACCCCCATGACGGGAGCGGGGTTCTGCCCCACGGCGAGGCTCTGGGCTGCAGTGCTCGGAGCAGAGCCGGCGCTGGGCTGCTGAACAGCCCCTTGAGACTGCAGAATTGTCATGTGCTGCATGTACTCGGCCTGCCCGGGAGGCTGCGTCGGCAGGAGATGCACGGGTGCGATCTGGGACTGCGAATAGGCGAATTGCTGAGGCTGAGTCACCGGGACGCTCGCCTGCTGCACCTGCTGCTGGCCCGCAGGAACGCTCGCCTGCCCCACCGTCACACTGGCAGCTGCCATGCCTTTCCCGTTGGCTCCAGCCTGCGGATTCACCTGCGGCTGCTGCGGCACTATCATCTGCTGGCTCGCTCCCGCAGCCCCAGAGAACACGGGCTGAGCACTACTCGGAGGYACGGCCCCACCTACGGGCTGCTGTTGTTGCCCAATTACAAAATTAGGTTGCTGTAGAGACGAYTGGTTCATTTTCTCCGTCTGAAGCAGCTGTGACACGGCAGCCAGGGAGCTGTCAGCTACGGAATCGGGGCCGTGGGCTGATGCGGGMACGGCCGAGACCACGACAGACCCTCCCGTGGCACCCAGGCCGCTGTCCCTGTCGTGAGCAGCCTGCTCAAAGGTGCTGCTGTGCCTAATGCAATCTCCAGTCCTGCCCAGAACACCGCCACCACCGCCACCACCATCGGCGTCTCGGTCATAGTACTCCATACACGTCCATCGGCCTCGCCTGTAGGGCTCCCCGGTGCCGTGGTCCAGCTTGATCACCCTGAAGCGWGAGCTGCACGCAGCAGCCGCCGTCTGAGACATGGCCCCCGGGGCAGCGGGTACAGCGGGGCCGGCGGAGGGCAGGGCGGCCGGAGCGCTGCTGCTGCCTCCCACCACGGCAGGAGCAGGGCCAGGGCCAGCAGCGGCAGCAGCAGCAGAGCTTTTGGGCACAGCCCCTCCGTTGGGAGCCGCAGCCGCTCCAGCAGCGGCCGCCGCAGCCAGCTGCCCGTCCAGAAGGAGGTTGGGAGAGACGCTGCTGGGAGTTTCGGCCTCGCCCACGTTGTTGAGAGTCTCTTCGGAGGAGCTCCGCTCGCAGACGTCCTCGGGGCCGTAGTCGGTGGCKCGCGAAACGTCGAAGATTTCGGAAGACACGTCCTCGGTGCGGGACTCATCGGGGTCATCCAGGCTCTCGGTGTCCTCGGTGATGCTGCTGGCCACCTGCGCCGTGGTCACGCTGGTGATCTGGAAGCAGCTCTTCTTCTTGGCCGGCATCTTGGACATGTTTCCTGGGCGGGGAGGGGCTCGGCCGGCCGGGGCGAGCGGGGC